TTCTTAGATGATTAGATCTGAGATTTACACTTTCAAATTGTTGTTGATCCTTGCATTACGAGTTGAAATGTTTCACTCATTCTTTCTATGTGAGAAAATATAAACTAAGTACTGTACAATTTGATAAATGCTACTTCTCAATTAAATGATAATAGTACGCTGGATACATTTGGCTTGAATTACTAATTTGTGGAACCACCTGCAAAAAGATTGAGTGATTTATGATTGATGAACGTGCAATGTCTTTGTTGGCTCTTTTTGGTTGAGATTTTTTAGTTTGTACCGTCTTAACTCTAAAACGAAGTTTAGATGTTATCTAGTAATTGAATTGTGTCATCTAGATGTGCTTGCACTTGCTAATTGTTAATTATAAATTCTGGTCTCCCTCTCCCATCTACTAAGAACGATTTTATGTAAGATGGAAATGATTTTAAAAGATGTTTTCTGTACGGTACTTGTGAAAGAAAACACTGTTCACATTACATTAGAATATTATTTTATACTAGAAATATGGCCCAGGGCATCGATAATTACTTTCTAAAAGAATTACTAAAGAAAAGATGGATTCTGTTCTAAGATAGTATGATGTTTTAGACTTGAGTACCTCTTCTCCCTTTTGTTTGCAGGACTAATACGGAAGACATAAAATCACTTCGACTGATAACAGCCATTAAAACCCCATATCTACCAGATGGCAGATTCGATCTAGAAGCTTATGATGCCTTGGTGAATATGCAGATTGAACATGGTGCCGAGGGTGTGATTGTTGGTGGCACCACTGGTGAAGGCCAGTTGATGAGCTGGGACGAACATATAATGCTCATTGGTCACACTGTCAACTGTTTTGGTGCTTCCATAAAGGTTATTGGAAATACAGGAAGCAACTCAACTCAAGAAGCAATGCATGCTACTGAACAAGGCTTTGCCGTTGGAATGCATGCAGCTCTTCATATCAATCCTTACTACGGGAAGACCTCGTTGGAGGGGTTGATTTCTCACTTTGAGAGTGTACTTCCCATGGGCCCCACAATCATATACAACGTGCCATCACGAACCGGCCAAGATATTCCCCCACGCGTGATTCAAACTGTGGGTTGGAGTCCCAACTTGGCCGGTATCAAGGAATGTGTTGGGAATGATAGGATAGATCAGTATACGAGCAATGGGATTACCGTGTGGAGTGGAAATGATGATCAGTGCCATGATTCGAGGTGGGATTATGGAGCTGCAGGCGTGATATCAGTTACTAGCAACTTGGTTCCCGGTCTTATGAGAGACCTCATGTTTCAAGGGAAGAATCCATCGTTGAATTCAAAACTCTTGCCTCTAATCCATTGGCTTTTTCACGAGCCAAATCCTATTGGCTTAAATACAGCTCTTGCTCAGCTTGGAGTTGTCAGACCTGTTCTCCGCTTACCATACGTACCTCTTCCTTTGGCAAAGAGAGTGGAGTTTGTGAATATAGTGAAGGAACTCGGACGGGAGAATTTTGTTGGAGTGAAAGATGTTCAGGTTCTGGATGACGATGACTTCATTTTGATCGGTCGATATTAGCTGATATTCAGTGCGAGTTTTCTTGAATTCCATTTTAAACATTAAAATGACAGTGTTTCACGTGTTGCCTTTTTCTGATTGGTGTCATGTCTTAGTTTTGTAATGCTAATAAGCATTTGTAAATTATTGTCTCACTAATGGCAAGTGAAAAGGGGGAAATTTTCTCCAATTTCCTGTGTGTAATTAAGTTAAGTTCGTTCAAGAATGAGCTCAAACGAAATGCACAACTTATATTGAAGTCTCATTCTCCATAAATTCATAATCAACTGCATAAATCTTTGTTCTGCGCTTCATATTCATATCAACCATAACAAGTCATGTCAATTTAGGCCTCTCTTCCTGTTCTATGAAGATAATGGTACTCTTGTGAATGCATGCCTAGTTAAGCCTACACAATGCATGTCTCATGGCAAAAGTCACGCCAATTTAGGTCTATCACTACCCATTCTATGAAGATCGTGTCACAATAAAACCTCTATTAAATAATGAACCATGCTTCATGTACAGAAGTCTAGGTAAGCAAATAAACAATAGAATCATGTACAGAAGCATGGTTCTACAAAACACCACCAGATACTCGCTCTGCAGTGGGGTGGGTTGATTTTTTTTCATTTTTTATTCCGGTGGGCCCCATACATGTGAGTGGATGTAAAACTTCTGTCAAAAAATTTTGGAAAAAATTCATGGATCAGATATTATCTATCACCAAATCAATATTCAGACATCAAGTTTAAAAATTGCAAAAATTTGGTTTTTCGTTAATTAATTAATTATATTTCACAATTATTTTGTTAAATTACTTTCCTTAAATTAAGCGTGCAGTTAGAACTCCCTAAAATACCAAATCACCTCCCTAAAATACAAATTCAGCTTTAGCCCTGACGGAGTTCCATCATGTTGATTAAATTGACGGTAGTACAAACGAGATTTCCAGTCAGTCACAAATTGAAGGTCGTCACTCCGGTCACAGAGTTCCATCCC